TTTTTCCTCTCACAATATTTATTCTGCTCTGCTTCAACGTATCGAGCACTGTTCCACGCGAAAATCGACTTGCAGACTTCCTATATATATTTATATATATCTTATTAGACATTTTGGTGTGCAGTATCGCTGAGTATTTTTACGAGTTGTGCCGTATTTTGACGAGCCCGATTCAAAATACAAACGACGAGTAAAATACTCAGCGATACTACACAACAAAACGTCTAATAGGCGATTTATTATCTAAAACGCCAAATTGCAAATTTCACGGATATTTCTGGAGTAGAAATATCGGTATGAACTGTATGGCAGACAGTAAAGAGAATTACTCATTCGATCTTGGGAGTGAACGGGTCAAGTTAGTCTGAATTTCAGCCGTCTCTTCCCTTTACCCCAAGGGGGGCGCGGGTGAGAGACTCTCTCCCGCGCCCCCCTTGGAGTAAAGAGAAGAAACGGCTGAAATTCAGACTAGGGTCAAGTCAGTTAGTTCTGACTTACGTTTTCAGGCCACTTGCGTCATATTTCCTTGTATCACTAAACCAACTACAGTCTCTTAACTTCCCAGAATCCCATCATACCACCAACAATAAGTGATCAAATTCGACTCTGGGAACTGGAAAGGAGCAGAATGAAGTTCACTGAAGGTAAGGCTACAGTATCTTAAACTTTAAGATATCCTTGAGGCGTGAGTAGTTATTTCTGGGTGTGGTTCTGAGCGGCTGGGAGAGGCAAGAGCGGAGGGGGTGCTTGAAGTTTGCATCTTAATACATTTCTTACTGTTGTAAGCATAGCAGTGATTCGCTCTCTGGAAGGGATAACGCTCGAAACGTCAGCTATAGAAACTCTGTAGGTGGTTAATGCATATTATCAACTCAAACACAACGAATATAGGAAATCATATATCTGAACTGCGGTTATAGAACTGAACTGGGGTTTGTCTTTTGCTGTTTCGGCTCCTGAACTGTGGAACAAACTACCTGATGACATTTGTTCTTGTGACAATTTAATAAAGGTGTATGAATTCTCTTCTTATCCATGTCTAGTGCCTAGATCCTAGACACCCGTTTTTGTGTATAGTTAAATCTCTGTTAACGTAAACTTAAGACTTACTTTTAAAAATCAATTCAATATGTATATTTCTATTTTGTAAAGCGCTTATATCAGGTCTGGATAAGCGCTATATAAGTAGTTCTATTATTATTATTATTATTATTATTATTATTATTATTACTACTATTATTAACTGCTTTTTGTGAGATATTTTTAAGGAAAAATTTGTTATTATTATTGAGTTAATACCGAAGAGATTCAAAACTTTTCTCTCAGTTAGAGACTTTTTAAACTTGTTTTGTAATATTTATACCTTAATTATGATCATCATTATGATTATTATTATTCGTATTATTATTATTATTCGTATTATTATTATTATTATTATTCGTATTATTATTATTATTATTATTATTATTATTATTATTATTATTATTATTATTCGTGGGTAGTGGCTAGACCTTGCTTGGAGCCGGTCTAGAAAAGGAAAAATAAGGCGCTTCCTTCCCTCCACTAGCCTGGGTGGACACCTTGGGCAAGTGTTAGCACACCCTTAGCCTCCCTTAACCAGGGTTACGGTCCCACTGCCTTGTGGTGGCTAGGGATAGCTAAAGGCTAAGGGAGCAAACCCCGACAGAAAAACCGGAGTGGAGCCCCGTAAGGCAGTTTTGACGCTATATCATTTTCTGGCAACTCCTGCAGTCGACCTGGTCCCGAACGTACTGGCCCTGCCTTTCCTTCGGACTCTACCAGCAAGACCGAGAGGGGGATTCTGGGACTTGGGCAAACCAGTATCTCCATATCAACCGCCCAGGCAAGCGCATGGAGAGGCAACTTCAGCATGCCCTACGGCTTCGCCTGGCATGGAAACAAACCGGGGAGTGGCAGTTACCGGTTCTAAGTCATGGCTTGATTGGCGTAGAGCCAGACGCCAGGGTTCNGCCGCTTCCTTTGTCAGTGCCTGGTGCCCCATGCTCTCCACACCCTCCTCAAAGTCCCGTACCATCTTCATAGCCGGATCTCTGTTCTGATACAGATTGACCACTGCTTTCACCTTTGTTTCTTTATGCTGTCTCTTATTATTATTATTATTATTATTATTATTGTTATTATTATTATTATAGAAACGTATTTGTGCACGATCCTCGCAGTAAAGAGCACTATTTAAGCAATAGTGAAAATCAGACCTGAAAAAATTTCAGGCCTGTCGGACTAATTTGATGACCTGCTCCCAGTTAGCTCAATTGGTAGAGCGCTGCACTAGTATCGCAGAGGTCAGTGGATCGAATCCCGTACAGGCCTGAATTTTTTCAGGTCTGATTTTCACTATTGCTTAAATAGTGCTTTTTACTGCGAGGATCGTGCACAAATACATCATCAACTCAGTTGATAAAACAAGGTTGACTTGCTATACCCCACCGACGCAGTACCACAGCTTCCTAGGAAACTTGCTCCTTTTATTCAATGCTCCATTAAGTATACCCAAACTGCAAGGACAATGAATTTGAACTCAAATAAAACTTTAATTATAGTTAATCAGTTTTTAAGGAGCTCACGTCACCTGACGCTTTTCGAATAAATGATGTAAACCTTCCAGAGAGCTACACCTCAGAGAAATATTTAAGAAAAATTCCTTTTTCTCTGCAGGTGTGTTATACAACCAGTTCCTCTCACAAGCAGATTTTGAAACCCTAAAAAAGTATGCTGAGGTAAAAGACCCTGTGCTAATATCCACTGAACATATTTGCTCGCCGTGATTGAAATTATGTTGGGTGGTTTGTAACGTACACTCACATTTTCCTGAATTTGAAATAATTAAACAAAGTATAAGTGGATTAAAGTGAACGCATGACGATCGAAATTTTTGGCCAAACGATTATGTCTGTCGTTTGCTTGTTTGACTTTGAATCTGCCAGTTTCCGCCTCGAAGTAATAGGAACAGTGGAATACCTCGACATTTGCCATTGGTTTTTACGTCATTAGAGCAATTTACAATTGAGAGTCGAAAAACCAAAACCAGCGTTATCAGAACAAAGATTGATATCATTACTAAAACCATGACAACTCAAAGTGAAAAAAAGCAAACTGCTTGAAGCGCGGGAAAACGCGTCTGGCAAAGTCGCATGTGATTGGTTGAGAGGGTAACGCGAGTTCTATGGACCAATCACAAAGCGAATTAAAGTTGTTATGCCATTCATCAGAACTTTATCAAAGCAATTTTGCTCTTGTTCCACATTCAAACTGTTGTTGTGCCCGACCTTCTCAATATGTGTTTCTTTGTAGGATCTCGGTGTACTTATGTGGGCCAACTCGTCAAAGAGAGTTATTGTAGTTAGCCGCTCGGGTCATGATGACGTTAAAAGGTTTTGGAAACGACAGAAAAACACGTGACAGCTCTTGATGATGCACAAGCTTACTAAGCAAGCCGTATTACTTCCTCGTGGTAGGCACGTGACTTGTGATGGAAAAAACCTATCAACGCATGCGTCAGGGAACTACAGAATCAATGTGAAAATTTCTGTAAGTACTGGCTGGATTTGTAGGGCACGTGATTTCCACCCGAAGGGCACGTGAACTTCACTTGACGATTACAGTCTAGCGTATGCCTTTGTGCAGATACTTGAAGTGAAATCGAATAAATTTAACAAAAGGCAAAACAGATTACGAAGCTGGAACCGAAAAAAAACCCTTCCAAAAAGAAGGGAGGTATTTATTTGATATTGCTTTTATTGGCGTAGTTCAATAAATGTTATACGTACTTGTGTCTGGAGAGTAAAAACTTTTTTTTAATCTTTTTACTGATTAAGAAAATACTTTTAATAAAATCTTTTGCTTAGTGGCTCCTTTAGTGGGTGCTTTGCGCGTTTTTTCATCTCACAATGGAATTACTTAGTGGCAATGCCGTCATATTTTCCACGCACTTGTTATTTCCCTCAAATGTAACCATAAAACGCGATCGTCAACATTCGCTTACTAATTAACTTTCCAACCATTGTCCGCTCCCTTTGTGCGCCAATTTCATAGGCTTTAAATGCCACTTGACATTTTGTGGAAGTAGATCAATTTGGCCGCGGAAGGTCTGGGTATGAGACTTAAAAACATCCTGTATTCCTCATTCTGATCCAAAACCTCCAAATCTGTAGGCTTGAAAAACCCGATTCATGCTTTATGTTTCGGAATGTTTTCCATAGTGGAAATCTCGAAATTGCCACCTTCTCTTTCTTTGATTTACTTTGTTTCTGTATTTGGTACCTGTGCTGAACTTGGAATCATTTAGCTTTGCACTTAAATGACAGCTGCGCTTTGAGACTGTCTTTTCTGTGCATTTACAGACCAAATGGCCCATTGCGTGTACCATTGAAATAAGTAATTTTCGCGTGAAATTTACCTCTCAATCCGATTAGAATCGAACACGTTTGGCCCTAACATGGTTTCTTTCTTTAGGATCAGTTTTGACACAGCTAGTAAATTCGCTCTTTTGGCCTGGCTTCAACTTGCAGCTCAATGTTAAAGGTTTACCTGCAGCGGAATAAGATCAGGGAATAACTTGATATCTGTAAAAGAAGAAAAGGCAGTCATTACTCAAACATTCGAAAGTTCTTAGGCGTCGCCTTTGCGCTGAATACCTTAAATTTCAAGAACAGAGCTAATGCGTACACTGAATCGAGTTTAGGGAGGGGCATAATCGGATGAAATTTAGCGAGATAAGGCAAAGCTTACCTTTGGACCAACTAGCTGAACAACATGGAGAAATACGAAACTTAATTGAAGTTACTGACTCATGCCGGGAGTACGCTAACGACGATTACGGTTTGCAATTATCGTTCGAGCTCAGCTCCCTAGAGGGAGACAAGCTGTGAAATGCACTGCCTCTCTACGTTTCCTTTGGGAGTCAGTCGATTAAATACAACGATATTAAAATTCCTTCACAGCGCGAGAAATGCACTTCGCTAAAATAGATTACCTTCAGGTAAGACTAAAGTATTTGAGCTGGTAGAAGCTAATTACCTAGTTATAAACATTTCGGAAAACAAAATGAATGAATAAAATGAGTGCAATAGAACTCAGTATTTTCAGCTCCACTGCCAAGTTTTCTTACGTTACTAAAACCACTTTTGCTCTGAGCTATAAAATATTATTCCTCCCTTTTTTGCAACCGCTACCCAATACAGCAGCTCCTCTCTGATAGCAATCTTGATTTCCAGGCCCGGTTCTAATCTTACAATGATGCCTGATAATTTTTCAGCACAAATCTTTCTAAGTAAAACTCCTTGCCTTACAAATGTGCTGCAAGCCGCCAGCTTAGAATACTGCCGGAAACTACTCTCATTGGTTTTACGGTATTCTAAAATTTAGGTAATCTCGGCGGAATATAAGTTCTATAGCAACTTCTTTCCCTCAAGATATCAGTATGAATATACATTTAAACATCCGAGTGCAATCATTTTCTCGGTAGAATGGCACATATCCAAACAATGCCTTCTGGTGTATAAAGAATTTAAAAAAAGGTTCCTCGTTTTAGAATGGGAAATGCACACTAAGATACAAGACGCTGATTCCTTCGCTATACGCATGTGAAAACCGAATACCGGAAAAATGCTTATTCTGGAAATTTTAATTCAGAACTTGTCTTTTTCATGGAGGCAAACAAAGGGGCGTAAAAAAGGAAATCCGTGAGGCTGGTATTTTTTTTGACGGGGAAGAAAAAACGACTAACAAAAAACTTGGCGGGGCATTTTCCCACGCTTTTGAAGACTCGGTTGACAAGAGGCTACACGCACTGTCCCTGTCAAAACAAGACTACTGAAGAATTAGTCAATTAAGTCTGACTTACGGCACGGTCAGTGAAGGTCGGGGTTTATATTATTTTCTTGAGTTCCCCTGCTTTCAAATCAAACATTAAGTATCCATTTAGTCTCTAATTGTTCAGTTCAGCATGAAGTTATCAACTGATTGCGGCCAGCTGCGGTGTAGATTGAATGCTTTAGCAGTGAACTTTAAAAACACAGTAAAGATTAATTAAAGTAAACACTATGGCTTCCCCTTTCATAAACTACTCAGTTTCTTGAGGTTTTCCAACGACAGGAAATAGCCGATATCCACTAGTCAGCGTCTAATTCAGAGGCGTAAATTTAGAAAACAAGTCACATCCGGATTCCAAACGGAAAAAGTCTTTGAAGGACCATTAAGTTTGTCGTCTTAAAAACATTTGTTTCGTTCAGATTTATTTTCGTACTTGAGTTGACTAATACGATTTATGGTATCACATACAAGAAGCTTATTTGATCGGAGCAGGCGGTCTCTAATAATCTTTGAAATTTTCCATGACAAGCATTATATAGTTATGCAGTTGCTTCGTTTTTAATTAGTATTTGATTATTCCTTTGTTGACACAGTTTTGCGGGCTTGTAATCAAATGATCAAGGTGTCATAACTTCACGTAGTGATCATAGAATTGTAAATTGAAGTTGTTTCTTGTCAGAGAACATACAAAGAAACTCTCGCTGTAAACAAGCTCTTCCTCACACGGCGGACGGACCTATATTGGCACAAAAATTACTTCGGGTCAGTGGTTGGTTGAATGTAGGCTAATTCACCGACTTCCTTCACCTTAAAAAGCTACGTGACTCCCGCTAATTCTAAGAAACTTCCTTTGGGCAGGTTTCTAAAGGAAACCACAGGCTCTGTTTGTTTTTTTGCGCCAAGTGATTACCAAAATTAGCCACTAACAAGCAAGTTATTGTCATCGCTGACACCTTCAATACCCAGAGCCTCACTTGCACGTGCAAAGTGTTATGAATTTTTTCATCCCGAAAAGATGTCCGCTTCACCTATGGATACGAGGCAAGTAGGCAGACATGTCTTTATTTTCTCGAAGCAGAACGGCAGTGAGAATCCTCCTACAATAATCGCAAAGCCTGTCAACATCACACAAGATTTGCCACGAGAATTTCTACGCTATTTAAAAACATTATTCGATATTCTTGACGAGAAGGGAACAGGCTTTGTGCGACTCGCTGACATAGAGACTCGGTGGAAAACTAAACAAGGATCGAACGGACTCGGAGAGGGAGTCATAGAAAGTTTACGGAAGGTTACTCCCAAGAATGGACTTCTGAGTTTTGAAAGACTATGCACTGGAATGAAATTGGCCCTAAAAACGCAACCACGCGCACAAACTAATGGTAGTATGAATGGGTTAGATCATTCAACCAGAAGATCGAACTCGCTACCGCAGCTAGACACGGCGACTAAAGGTTGGACTTCCGATTCTAGCGAGGACTCATTTGCAGGCAACGAAAACAGAACTAAGGCTCATGTCATTAACAAATTAAGGGATAGAAAGGATGAAAGTCAAGAAAAGAGGCGTTCTCTGACTATTAATACTTCGAATCAACGCACAAGCGGGAACGATAGCTCCGGAAGTGCAAGTAAGTGTTTCTTTTGTTACGACACGGTGGGCTAGAAGTAAATGATATTCATGGGAACTTCGTCCTTGAAACTATAAATAACCACCAATTTTCACTTTGCGGTCCGAATTTTCTAATTAAATCTGACCAGCAAACGAAAGGAATTTTTTTTTTCGGGGCGCTTTACTTCATAAACGATCGCGCGTTAATTGAAAACAGTAAAGGTGTCCTAATCTAAATAGAGCGCGGATCAAAACATACCAGGCGATTTAACATATGTCCATATTTCGACGTTTTTACGTCAAAGGATGTCGCATATGTTTAAAATTAGTTCAATGGAACAGTACTACAGAGCTAGTGGCGAGACATTGTTTATTTTTCTGATCTTTTGCATTCGTTCAATTTTGCTTGAGAATTTATTATGTTTAAACTACCACCCTCTTGATTTGAAGTAGTTTTTTTTCCTATCCTTCAGAGGTTCTAAGCCTGATTAGTATTTACAACATTATAATTCGTTTGGCGTCAGATAAACGCTAAACGATTTAGTTATAATCTTGACTTTGGACACGAAAATTGAACGTGCCAAATGTGTAAGCAACACCAGATAATTGAACACAATAGAGATCACGGTTATCAAAATACCAGGTGGCCTCTCTGCATGACGACCTCGATTATGTCTAAACAATGCGTCAAAACATTAAAATTGGACTGTTCAGGCCATTATAACGCCAACATCTTCAGCCATGGAAAAGTGTTTATTTTACATTGCCAATATGACATAGCTTCTTTGTTGCGTGTGATTGATAACAATATTAACTAACATTTTGGAATTCTTGTAGAGATTAGTCAACTCTCTGCGATTACAGATTTCATGTCTTGGCCTGCTGTGGTTCTTTCTAGAAATTTATGTAATTGAGCCTTGTCTAAACATACGCCACATTACGTTTTTGTGATAAACAAAATAAGCTTTTCAAAAAAATTCAAGGAAGCATCCGTTGCTTAAATTAGAAATGCTACAGGTAGTTCTAGAAATAAACTTAAAACAGGAGAGGATGTTGAAAGCAAGGGTAATGCAGCAATATAAGCAGGATGGTGCAGCATTGTCTTAAATATATCCTCTACGATGTCAATATACATCCTCACTTCACAAGAGCTTCTACCCTTTAACCTCTTTCAAGAAAATATTGGATTTTCTCATCCACTCTTAGTAGACGGGCATCTTGGCTTTAAGGCCCTCAAGCTAACCCACATTTTGCAATGTCTAATATTTTTTACGAGATTATGGAAATAATTTTCAAGCACTCCAATACACTATGCTAGGTTTCTGAACTACATCAAATCTTTGACCAACTGCATCTGATCACAATATATACGTTGAAGGACGTTGGAGGAAGAAAAGGGATGCTTACTATTGTTAATTTTTATTGAAGGGGTGTTACCAGTGATGGTTGGAATTCTATCCCTCTTAAGGGCAAAAAAATAAATAAATAAATAATCAGCATCTTCATCAGAATAGGTGGGAAATAGGAAAATGAAAGCTTGCACTTAGACCCCAGTTTGTAAATCAGACAGAAACTACATACATGTACACAACTTGTGTTGACTATATACAAATCTCAATGACACCAATTTACTTCAATTTTTACAAGAATTATAAATGACAAGGAAATATTGAGTTCTAGTTACATGATTCTCTCTTTGTCCACTCCGTTTTGCAAAGCAACCTCCTCTTTGCAATATTTTCAAATGACAGCATAAGGATACATTGTATACACAAAGCTTATTCCGGAGCTTTTCTTTCTGGACAGCTACCTTTTGACTGAGACCCTCAGCTGTAGGAATTTTAATCCTGGACTTAGAGAACCGAAAGGAATTTGAAACTTCTGAGTAGAAGTAGAATGCTTTGTAAACAAGATTTGAGACCCATTGCAAGGGCTGACAACTTTGGCTTTAATGTTGGATAATTTGTTTGTTAAACCCATGATTTCTCATAGTATTCTACATCATACAAACTAGACCCTGTTTGCATTCTTGGTATGAGGCATGCCCTTTCTGTTGTGAAGTCGTAGAAAAGAGACTACCCTAATTACTGACTGACTCAAGTCGGCATCTGTGAGATAATTTAGGTTTTTTAGGACTCTAGTACAAAGATCTAGACTGATTACAGAACTGGTATAAGCAATTCTGCTAAATGTTAATTCAGCTAAAAAAAGAAACAAAACTATTAAAAAAAGGGAGACCATGCTGTTCCTTTCAGGAGAAATTCAAACTGTTTAAAATGTTTCTATTATTTTCAGTGAATTGTCACTGCGTGTGCCAAACTGATTTCATGCTTGTATTCACTTGCAGGTCCATCATCTGCAAATGGAAGCCCGAAAGGAAGATCAAATTCTACGACAAAGGTTTACTTTGTTGGTAAAGAAATCAGCAGTAGTGTACCAGCAAATTTAAATGGACACATTAAACATCCTGCTGCCACCACTGAAATCCAGAATTTTGACAAGGTAATTCATGAGCTTGTGTAACTTGCCTCACTCCCAACATGTGGCTTTGTAGTTCAGTTGGTAGAAGGGCCCAACTACTGTAGTATCTGTGAGAAAATATTGCATTTGAATCCACTCAAAGCCTGAAATTTTGCAGGCTTATTTTCTGAAATTTATTTAAATTCTAGCTCGCCTGTGAAGATCATATCTGTATCTTCACTTGTACTTTGTATCTGTAAAGAAGTATGAGTTTACCCAAGGTTTTTTCTTTTGTAGTGGAATAAAATGCCTGTAACAGACTTAGAAGTAAAGAAATTGTGATGTGATAATAATCTTTATTGAAGATATCAATTTCACTGATAAGTGATTTACAAAAGAGTCCTCAATTGGGCACATGAAATTCATGCAGTTTAACAAAATCTGAAGCAAATAAATCAAATGGCAGCCTTGGAATTAAAGCACTCTCTGCTTAAACCAAATGTTGAGCTTAATTTTTATATTTTGATTAAAACTTAATTTTTTTTTAATAACCCACTATTCAATTGAAATACAGAATATAAAGCATATATAACAAATTTTAGTGTATCATTTCTTATTAGAAGCAATCAAATTTATTAATGTGATTAAAAAATTAGTTGATTAAATTATTATTGTCCTTCATAGTAAGTAGTCATGTTTACAGACATATGTCTCTGGGATATTGGTTATTGATTAAGTATTCAATATTGATAATCTTAGGGCAGTTTTGTTCTCCAAAGTGGTTCTTATGGTTAAAACAAATTCTTTGCATGCGTGTGTAATATATTATGCCCTAGGTAAGAGTACAGTAATTTGTTTGACAACTATTCAACAAATATTGACTGTATACATGTATCAATCCATTCAAATAAGATTTGGTAAGGGTTATTTTGGTTGGAAAATGCAATTTTCATAAATTTTGTTGTAGGTAGGCTGCTAGAAGTGGGTGAACACTGCAGAAGAACACTTTGTGCAACTTACATTGTACAATGACATCATGCACATATTAAGTATGAGGGAGATATTGAAAATCCTTAAGATCAAAGAGACTAGCTTTAAGGGTCCAATGTTGGTGCTCAAACTCAATGATTTGACATCAAAGTTTTTTGTCTCTTTGCTTCTTTGTTACTCTTTGATTTATTTTGATGGTGGCCATGTTCAATCTCTCTTGAAAAGTGAATGCTGTCCATTAATAGTCCTAATTAAAATGTAAGTACAGTAATAGAGCCTTGAATTAACTTTATTGGTCATACCATATCTCTGGTTTGATTTCAAATCAAGAATGCTGAGAATATTCTTTATTCCTGTTATATTGCAGGATGCTAGATTACAAGAGCTTGATGATGAGCATGACCTTTTACAAAATGGTCTTCAGGTCATCGAAAAAGCTAGAAAGTGGTATTTTAAAAGAATCACAGCTATTCAGGAAGAGAAGTTGCACCTTCAAAATGGTGACCAGTATTCTCTAGAACAGGTATAATTCATGCTGTCATCATCATGATAATATTGCATCACAGGTTTGAACACGTACGTCTCTAACTTGTTTGGAATGACTTGAGAATGATATGTAAAAGCAGTTCATTCATGTAGTTTTGTATTGTGACCGTAGGAAGAATTTCTACTCGGGAACCAGAAAAATAAAGTTTTCACTTGATAGAGGAGGCACATGCATGGCTGCATGACTCCATGATATCTGCTATTCACTTTAATCTGTTAGCTGAGAAAAGCATTCTGTGATGAGAATGGTAACATGCAAAGGAGCCTTTTTGGCCCACAGCAAACCAGTAAAGATAGCCAGGATTGTTGATGATGCAAATTAAAGCATGGCAAAAAGTGCTAATTGACATATTAACAAAAAAAAAAGAACTCTAACAGAAATCATAATCAAAATGAACACCGTGCATGTTGCAAAAGGTCTGTAGGGCTTACAATTTTATTAATTACTCGGGCTACCTGTGGAATGCCCAAGTTATAAATTGGGCTTCGTTATTTTCCATCTTGAGACACAAAACGCAGTCTAGCAAGTAAAGCTGTGCTGAGTATGCTTTTTCAGTTGCACAGTAAGAAAACAACTATACGGCATTCAATCAGGAAGTATATACCCAGGTAAACTTCAAAGTGCATGGTTATCATGGCGGCCAGAGAGATGCCCCGTGATTCAAGAGTAAACATGTCTTCCTGTATGCTCAAACTACACACAAAAACACTGTTTGGGGTAGACTCACACTAAAAGATGTTGAGCGTTTTCAGATTGCGTCAGTCCAATAGAAATCAACTTACAAACGAATATTTTTTAATGAACCTTCTATCAAGAACTATGCTATATCAAACTAACCATCTACTGAACTATCTAATGTAAGCTTAAAACCTATCCATGAGCATCATCAAGTATCTCGCTTAAATTTGTCAAAAATTAATGTAAATTAAACAATTAACACTCTTCATCAGATTACATGCCTTTGTAAATATTCCAAAGCAAAGAAGCCAGAGTTCACGTAGTTATGCATCTAGTTACTAAGAAAAGATTTCTGAACTTTTTTGCCAGTCCAGGCTAAGTTTTGGATGTTATGTGTTTATTGTGTTCTTCTACCCTCCTGCAGTTTCAGTATGAACTTTTACTCCACAAGACAAGAAGAAGAGAACTTGGTTTGGATGATGACTCTTTCAAAGAGCACAAACATCACATACAGAGTGTTAATCAGTCTTTAGAAAGAATCATTGAAGGGAAAGCACCAGTGAAGGTATCTGACTTGCTTTTATCATCCCAAGTTTGACTCTCAGGATTGATTATAATCAGAGAAATTTTGGCCTTTCATCCTGCTCTGATGCTTAACCTCCTTCAAATAATATGGATAATTTTTTTTTCCTCAGGCATCACCAACTTCAAATTCAGATGCTAATAATGAAAGACAAAGGCTGCAAGATGAAGTCGAACGTCTCAAAAAGGTCTCTATTGAATAATTTAACTGTAGCCTTTTTCTAGCATTCATGGTACTTTTAGCTCTCATATGTGGCTGCAGTTGCCTGTTTATGTGGCTAAATCTTAGAGTGTAGAAATATTTCTATTTCATCTCATTTTTATTGTTCTTTATTAATATATTTCAAGTTTTTAGCCTTAAATAAACTTTTTATCAATTTTCTGAATAGCAAAAGTAACAAGTGCCTCCCTGGTAAACTTAGTACTAGTGCTTTTTGTGTCTCTCTATTTCAATTTTGTTGCATTTTTTTTTATAGCAGTCCTTTTTTTACCCTTTCATTCCCAAGTTCTCATTAATAGTTCCCCTTACCAAGGCTATGCTCTAAGGAAAATTGAAGGGAGCCCAGTGCTCTGAAACTGTGAAATCCAGGATGGCCAGCGTATGCTTTTTATGAAAGAATTAAGATTCCTGAGTTTCCCAAGAGCAAAAGTAAGGCGGCCACTGGGCACTGCATTACTATACAATTCTTATAATGATTGTTAGTTTGGAGAATTTGCTACTGGACTGCTAATTTTCTATTCCTTTCACCTGTCTGCTGGATTAACCTCGTTCGCAGGGTCTCTCATCTTCCCGACCCCTGGAGCAGTGCGGGAAGTCGAGAGACCCTGGGAACGAGGTTGTCTGCTTGATATCATATTGATACTGTGAGGAGGAATTCTGTCTTAATTGTCACTCATAGGAATTGAATTAAGTGTTAAGAGCTGTTCAATTAATAATTAATTCTGTTAATTATCTGCTTACTTCACCTTCAGATTCTTGATAAACAGAGTTACTTTGAGGCCACGAAGGAACATTGATTCGTGTTACTTATAAACATATTCTTTCATCTCCAGGAGGTTTCTGAGAAGGGAGGCAAAATTGCTCAACTGGAAACTGAGAAGTCTGCCCTCATCCGCGACTTGTTCAATAGCAAAGCATCAGGAAAAAATGGACTTAGCACAAAAAAGCCCCACCAGATCTTCTAATTTAAAGGCCAATCTGCCCTTTTTCGAGTTGACTAAGGAGCTGCAAGTTACGGCAAGCTTCGACCACCTGAACATATTGGTAACATTTCCGAATGTCTTCAATAACCTGGACTCCGATAACGATATGTTTCCCTTTCCATTCTACTCGCCAGTAGCTGTTGTGGATGTAGTTGAATCTTTGTAATACATCACTCGCTGCACTGCTGTTGGAAATCCCACTGGTCAGCAACACACAACAAAGCGCGTATCAAAGCATGGCAAGAAGATAGGGAAAAAAAGTATATGGATATATATAATTATATGACAAAATTTATCAGTGGCTGTTATTACCAATCTTATGCAAGCTCCAAAGTTAATATACTTATTAAGCAAACGGATTGCCGAATGTAGCACCCTGTGCAATTTTTTTATTATTTTTAAATGCTATAAGCTTTTAACTTTCATTTACATTCCATTTTTACAGCCCTATAACAAACAAAATTGATTTTTGAAACATTATTTATGATATTTTGTATAGTTGGAGATGATCTTGATTCCATTTGCTTGTGCCAGATGTATTTACTGTACATTTTTCTGAGATCAGAATCAAGGAGTTGTTTCATAGTTAATTTTATAGTCGCACATAAAATCAGTATTATTGAAATATTAACGTAAGAAGATAAAGCGAGGAAAGATGAATTTAATTATCTCTTAACTTCAGTGAGCAGAAAACCATTATTAACGATAAACGTTATAAATTATGAACAGAATTTTTTTAACGGTATACTTGCATAATAGTAGTGTATTTTGATTGAAATAGTTTATTTCTATAATAATTTTAGTACTTGTAGATTAAACTGCTTTGTCAAAGCTATTGTATGTGACTGTGTCAAGAAATTGGCTCGGGGACCGGGAGCGATACTCAAAGGCACCAATTAGAACACTTGATTCCACTGGTGTGAAGTGCACCGACATTGGCTTAAAATCATGTGGCCTGTTTCACTTGAGAGGTGAAGAGATTGGCCAATAAAATTTAGTCTGCGGGTGCAAGTGTAGTTTTTTGTATGTTTTGGTTGTGTTCAATGTCTTTACCTGTTGCCTATTGTCTTAGCAAACCAGTTCTCAGTTTGTGACCAAGCAACAGCTGAGGTTTCAAATTTAAGGCAACGTGTATCCAGCTGGGAAGTATAATGATATTTACGGAAACCTATAAACATACCACAAATGTCTTAAAACAAATTAAAGGTTCGATGATGCCGTGGATCGGGTAGCGACAGGTGTTTGCGGGTTTCCTATAAACGACGGCGCTTTGTTGAAGAACGACGCTCGAAGAAAATTTAATTAATTTGAGAAGTCAGATAATAATCGTGAAGATTTCAACACTGCCAAAGGTCACCCAACTGAAATCCGCTGCGGTAGCAAGGTTCCCTTTGAAATCATCTGAACTGGAACTCTTGAGTTTGCGTGTATTCCATCGAAAATTTTGAACGAATCGAAATCACAGAACCGTTTCTTTCAGTTGAAAGTGTAGCCAGACTCAGCGCATGGTTTGAAACTTGTCATTGTCTCGTCCACCAGTTCGGCTTCAATGCATTGACCCGGTTGAAAAAGAATCCATTGAAATCATTTGAGAAGAAGGAACATAGTCGCTGGCGTTTCAACACTGTCAAAGGTCGACTAATTAAAATATACTGTGCTAAAGTGGTAAGCTTTCAAATCCACTGTTGCAAACTTCTCAAGATTACGTTTATGGCATCGAAACGTTTGATATTAGAATTACTGCTAACATGTACTTGTCACAACGGAAACTTTGGAAATTTCTCGCTGTCGCGTGCGGCCTTTCATCGCTCATGACCATTTTCTTGTTAAGGCTGTTGTCAAGGTCCTGTAAACATGAAGAAAACAAGGACGTCCACACAGTATCAACAGTAGATAATGGTCATCCTCCATTACAACATCACGTGGACCGTTCTACTCCTCTTATTTTCGTCGGTGGCTTTCCGCGAAGTGGGACCACTCTCATGAGAGCCATGCTGGATGCGCATCCTAAAATCAGATGCGGGCAGGAGACAAGGGTGATACCGAAAATCCTTGTGGGTATTCCAAAGATATTCAGCCTTTTCAGCGAGCGGGAAAAGCAACGAAGAGAGGAAGCTGGTGTGACTCAAGAGCTGTTGGATTCCGCAGTGGCCGCGCTCATAGGAGAAATCATTGCTAAACATGGCGATCCCGCGCCAAGACTGTGCAACAACGATCCTTTAACTTTCAGGAATCTTAGCTATCTAGCCAGAATATTTCCTAAATCCAAATTTGTTTTCATGGTAAGAGACGGACGCGCTGTTGTCCACTCCATAATGGAGAGAGGAGTTGTTATTCGAGGCGTCAACAATCATCGTCCAGAAATTTTATTGCGAACATGGAATGATGCCACAGGTGAGATGAACGCTCAGTGCGTAGCTTTAGGTCATTCAAGGTGTTTGAGAATTCCTTATGAACATCTGGTGCTGTTCCCTGCAGAGAGCATGGAAATGGTCCTAGAATTTTTGGACGTTCCTTGGAATGACGTGGTGATCCATCATGAAACTATGATAGGGAAATCAGGAGGTGTCATCCTATCAAGGTAAAAAGCAGCCATTGTTTGATCGGACAAAAACACCGAATATTGCATGCAATGTGTAGGTCAGTGAAATCATGCACGTAGATGATTCAGGCAATCGTGAAAATCCTCGTTTACATTTTTTCGATATCCTTTTCGACTCTTGCGATTCTAACCGTGAAAAGTTACTAATTACGCAAGAATCATTGCGCAGGAAGATTCGACTTTTCCTGAGTTATGCGAACTCGTTCAGATCCCGGCTCATTTTGGTATCGCGAGAGGGGGTGAGTAGGCATTCGAAGCCTTCCCAATGCTGTTATCTTAATCATTGTACGTGCGTACCACTCAAATTCCTTTCGCGTTTTAGTGACCAAGGGGCCATTGGACACGAATCAGAGCTCTCTGGCAGGAGTGTTGCTTGCCATAGTTTTACTGGAAGACTGAAGGTGTGCCCCTCTTCCTGAGTTGCAATTAAAGGGCAAAGAAAAAATCATAGAGTTTTCTTCTTTTTCGTATATAGTATCTATGCCTACGCTTGTTTCTTTGTTTCATAATTTTCAGCCTTGAAAAGTCAACCGATCAAGTGAAAGAAGCTGTAAACTTGAAAGCACTGTACAAATGGTCTGAAAGACTTTCATCATCTTTATTGGAACGTACCAACAGAATTGCTCCTGTTATGAGAACTCTTGGCTATGATACTCAGAAACAGTGGCCTGATTACCGAAGGATGGATTCAGTGGTTACAAAACACATCAATTAATTTTTACATTGAAAATAATTGAAAAAATTCTAATAAAACGCAAAGCATTTTTTTTATATATATTCTTATTTCTTTTGTATGATTGCATTTACTTCCCCCTCTCTATATGCCCACGTATCTTATCCCCCTCCCATGAGAGGGGTTGCAGATTCGGCATCTGGACCCATCTACACTACTCATATTTTATTTTATCTCATCTCTTATTATCCCATTATTCATTTTCCATTCTCTCATGCTTGTTGTCCTTTTCTTTTTTCAATAATTGGACAAAGATAAACTACATCACTGTGCACGAATCTTCCCGTAAAGCAGGCTGTTGTGGGACTTTACAGGACGTGAGTCATCAATAGTCTCACTAGTGATAGTTACATTTCGCGCGGGAAACATTTTACGTCATTTTTCAATTCCATCGTTGAGTTTTCTGTGACACTTACATAGAACATTTAGCCTTAGGCGCGTGTCCGCTGAATACCTCAGTACTCTTCCCGGGGGACGCCCGGGCGTTAATTTTTCCCTCGCTTGAGCTGAGCGTCGAGTTGAAAATTTATATTTATTTGTACATCCGTGGCGATAATGGAGAGGGAAAAAGGCTGGTTGCAAGCGTACATTCCTCAGAAATCCTCCGATTATGTAGCATTCTTATTCATGATCGTTATGCTTTGGGTGATAGCACTCTTCGAACTTTTTGTTGTGCTACCGCTCTACCACGAAGCGTTCTCTACATGGTGGTATTTACACGTGTTTTCCGGGTTTTTCTTGTGGTTGAACGTGTTCGCCAACTTTTTCTTTTTGATCACAACGGATACAACAGGAAAAAATCTGGGAATGCCGTCTGTATTGAAGCCCGGTTGGTCGTATTGTCCTTTCTGTCAGCTGAATTCACCTCCAAGAGCACATCATTGTCAAGTCTGCAATGAATGTGTTTTGAAGCGAGATCACCATTGTGTTTTCGCAGGGAAATGTGTTGGCTTCAGGAATTATCGCTATTACATGTTTCTAGCGTTGTACCTTTGGTTAGGAGCTCTTTATGCCAATATTTTTCATCATGAATATGTGACGTCGGAAATTGGCAGTTTCAGTTTTGCAACAGTGCTTACCATGGTGACTCCAATCCTAATGTGGATGTTAGGGTACACAACTCTTTACGGATTTTTCGTTTCCTTTATGACGGGGCTTTCCATTTTTGCGTTCATTCTCTTTAGTGGCTTGCTGCTCTTTCAAATTGGAATTATTTCCCGCGGTCAAACTTCGTAGGAGAGAAAGAAGAAAAAAAAAGAATACGACCTTGGTTGGAAGCAAAATTTCTTAGACGTCTTTGGAGAGAGGTGGTATTTAGCTTGGATCTGGCCCACTGTAAGTTCAGCTTTGCCAGGAGATGGAACAAATTACAAGAAAACGTATCTTCAGGAAAGCAAAGACCTCTGATAGTTGTGCAACTCCAAAAAAACATTTCCATGTCGTAAATAGTACCTTGCAATATTCAAAACACAATTAAGAAGTTCTGTAGCTGGATTCAGCATCTCACATGTCTTGGATTTTATCATTCAGCACCCAATTTCTTCTAAAGCCTGTTTTTTACCAGAGTTGAAATCATAGAGGAAAGCGCAGCCCTAACAGGGGACTATGAAATTGAATATCTTAAGACCAAAACTTAGCTTATTAGATAATGAAAAAATGTAACAGTCTTGATATGCTTCAGGTTTCCAATGAGAGAATAGTCCATTTTACAGTTGGGTGCTTGGTTGCCAAGCCTTTGAGTGGGAGTGAGGTTAGGGTTGACCTTGTTATGATACAAATCTTGCTGCCTTTCAAATGTAAATCACTTTGTTATCATACCAAGTAGATACAGGTCTCTATCACAACAAGGTCACCTTCGGCCTCACTCTGAATCAAAGGCTTGGCAACTAAGTACACAACTGTAAAATGGCCTATTGTGAGTGGTATCTGGACCATTCAGAGAGTGAAGTGAAGTAAAAACAAGACAATTCAGGATTACTGTGTATGGTCAGTTGAAAACTGCTCCACTCTGTTCCTTTAATCCTTTTACATTTGATGTTTCTTAAAGCTGTATGTCTTTTGAAGTTTATCATGGACTGTTATGCACATGGTTCAGGGCTCAACACTAACTTTTTAACTTACTAGCCCATGCAGTGACTAGTGACAACTTAGATGTTACAACAATTTCAGTTTTGTTTACTAGCCAAACTGGCCAGTGGAAATCGAAAAGCACTAGCCAAATCTGAATTTTTACTAGTTTGTGGCTAGTTGGCTACTGTTAGTGTCAAGCCCTGCAGTTGTGTTTTCACCTACATACATGAATTCATTGGTGGTGTAAACAAGGATATGCTTTTTTGTGGCTGTCAATTTTTTTTTTATCACTAACTGCAGATCACAACTTCCAAGTAATGAACAATCGTAGGTGTAATCATTCACAAATTTTGAATTGGCCCACATTATCTCCTGACTTGAACCATTTCATATGCAAACAGAATTTTCAATAATTTTTGTTCTAATTAACAATCATTTCCTAAAGGCAAAGTGACTATTGTCGAGTGATTCCTGAGATAAAGCAGACAGGGTTTTTCAGCAACATTCAATAAGCGCAAGGAGAGTTATAGCTTCAGTATAATATCTCAGGTTATTATCAGGGTGACTGCTTGAAATTGAAAATTAGAGCTCCAGTTTTATTTTGCCCTCACCCAGGGTGATTATAACCAGTTATGACATAGTCTTCCATCAAACAGAGAGTGGTTACTTCATTAATTTCTGAAAGAGCCATTACTTCAAGCTTCATGTATAGACCATTACTTTTTAGAAGCCTTGAAGCTGTTGATCATCATTGAAGTCTTACTTGTTAGAATAATTTTGGATTAGAAATGAATTCCAAAGAAATTCACTTTTATCATTATGGTTCCTTTGAATAACTTGGGAATGATAACAAGGCAAAATATGTTGTTTTTTAACTCTTGTATGTAGCTAGTATGGATATCAAATTTTAGTCATGCCGTTATGCTGTCATCCATAATCCATCATTTTTTACTGTAGTTTTTTAATTATTAATTATTAGGACATTTTGTAAGCCTGGACTAGGGCAACTCGATATTTAAACAATGCAGCAAGAGCTATAAATATTATACTATTTTCTGAGTACCTTTACACTTACTTCAAATAGCTATTTATCAGAAACTTAGACTGCTAGGGTTTGATGACTGGAGAAAATTTTTTTTTAAGTTAAACTGTTGTAGGTGGCTTTGAGTCTAATAGAAACCCAGGGTGAACAGCAAGAAATTGAATGTGTTTGTAGTTTGAGACTTAGTATGGAGTCAAATTTGCTCATGAATTTAAATTTTGTGTTATGGTATATTGACACAAACTGGAATTTTCAATCAGCATCTTGCTCCTTGTTCTGTTCTCACTGTCTTTTCTATATCCCACTACTCCAGTGCTCACATGTGCATAAGGTAATGCTTTTGATTCAGTGCTTTATCCCCAAAGGTGGCTAGCTTTTTTAAACAAAAAAGAAGATTGCAGGTTATTTTATAGGTCTGATCCAACTCAGCTTTTAACTGATGAATCACAAAAAGAGGAAAAAAATTGTCAGAAGCAGACAATTTGCACATACATGCACTTGTACAATGGTTCGAATTATTCCCTGAAACAGTGATGAAATCGTTCATTACCGCGTGACCCTGGTTACCGATTCGGACCCACTCATTCTCAGACCTCTGGACGGGCATGGAACTTAGGCGACAGTTCATCATTCATGACCGGTTCCATCGTTGATCCTATTGACGAACAATGATACAGAGGTAAGAATCTGTAATCCAGGTCGACCATTCTCGATGGGAGCTTTCTTTCCAGGGAAAATCGACGTAGGCTTTTGATACGGCAGTACCTCTTCAGATGTCACACAACACGGATCTGCAACTTATCACAAGATTTCAAAATATGGATAGATATTTACATTAGGGTACATGGCCATTTAGAAACTAAAGCTTTTAATCAGTGATGAGTGTTTTATTTTCATTTTCTGCCGGTAACTTCTCTTTACATTGTGTAAGAAGGAGCGATGGCCATGTTAGAACAAAATCGAGGAATCATTCTCTAATTGAGAAAAAAACCGATTCGATTTTATTCCTTAGAGAGTTGGTTTGACGAGGGAGATATCTACTTAGAAGTGTATATCTTGTTTAGGCATTTATACTGATTTTGAAACGTGATGATGATGTAACCATGAGCACAATTGCACAATGAGTCGTAATTCGGCATTACACTGACTCTGTTCGGTGATTACTTTTACCAAGTATCCAGGAGTTTGGTCAAAACAGGCTTTTCACTGAGATAATTTTAAGCGATTTTAGAGGTAAAAACGTTGTATATCCCTCCCTTTTCAAAAAATTTGTTTTACCAAGCCAGATGATTAATTTTTATAGTAAAACTGTTAAAAGGGAATGCTCACAATTGTTGTTAATTAACTTTATATGATTGCACTACAGTCCAATATTTTCGTTTTCTTACAGGAAAACATGGCCCGTTATACAAGTCAGAATTCGTTACTATTTTTTATCTGTATGAGTAGTCTGTTTATTGGCTGCTCTTACGAAGGTTCTTTCACATTTACCACCATTCGGTCTAAATTTACAACCATTCAATCATGTGTTGACCAGCTTACTGCCCCGGGAGATGAATGCATTATTCCCAGAGGGGGTTACCACGAGCGCGTGACTGTCACGAACAAACACGGTACCCCTGAAAAACCAATTATCATAAGTGGAATCGAGGACGAATATCCCATCATCGATGGTACCGTTCAACTACAGCCTAAGGGAGGGTGGGTGAAAGATGACAGTGGCGCTTTTAAGGCTGTCGTAGACCAAGAGATCTGGCAGTTATTTATCGATGGTGAGATGATGACAAATGCTCGCTGGCCAAACGCACTGTGGTCCAACAAAACGGTATTCAACGCCAGCTACTGGGCGAAGTCGTCCACCTTGTCCACACGAGGTGTTATGGTGGATGATGGCTCAAAGGACTTGGCCGGAAGCGGTCTCAACGCGACGGGTGCTATGGCAGTTCTTAACATTGGGAGTTTTAATACCTTCACAGCCGTAGTTCAAAGTCACAATCCCGGGAATGCATCATTCACTTACAGGGACACATTTGGTCGCATCAAGTTCTTTCCTGGAGCCAATCAATATTTTCTTGAAGACAAGCTGGAATTTCTTGACCAACCCGAGGAGTGGTTTTACGACAAAGCCTCTAGAACAGTATTTGTAATGACGGGAGATGGTAAATCCCCTGAGGGACGTGACGTCAGAGGTAAAGTGATGACGTACGCATTTAACATTACCAATTGTAGTCACGTGGTTTTCCAAACGCTGAAGTTCTTTGGAACAACGCTGTGGGCCTCAACAATAGATGAAGAGAATACAGTGAATAACTTGACTTTCCACTCAATCATCTTCAACTACCCGTCGTATACGCGACGAATGCTTGGCGACACTGCTCCAGCTGAATGGACTAAAATGAACGCGAATACAAAGAAAATTACTTTAAATACTTTGACGGTTTTCAACAACACTTTCTTGGGTACCGATGGTGCTGCCTTAGAGTTTAGCGGTTTGGATGTGACTCTGGAAAACAACTTGTTCGAGTACAACGACTGGACTGCAGCAAACATGGTTTACAGGAGTGGAGGGCTCGGCACAGTTATTTCTAATGGGATTGGCGACATTTTTGTGAGAAACACCTTGCGGTACAACGGAGCCAGCAGTGGCATAAGACCTGGTCTGCGGCCCACAGTGCGGCTTAATCATTTGCACCATCAATGCTGGGGTATTATACAGGTAACTACTCCTCTTTTCTTGGCCAGAAGTATTTTCGTTGTGAAATTCAGATCGTCATAGAGAACGAGATCATTATCTCTATCACCTGTCTATATTCAAGGGGGGAGGGGGTGGCTCGGAATTCGAAGTAACCGCGCTCGCCCACTACCACCATATATAGGAGGGGTTGCATTTTCGAAACTGGCGTCACCTGTGGTTTGAGTTTGACGCCACAATAAACTAGCTTTAATTGGTATTGGTCCTTAAGACATTTTATTCCGATGAAAGAAGTCTAATAAGTATTTTAAGAAACGATTAATTTCATTCAAATTCTAAGCAGCTGGATACTTTTGACGTGTGAAGAACGTCGTATTTTCACTGTACTTGAAACTTGTTTCACAAAGCCATTAGCCGTGGTCAAAATTTTGGTTTTCATTGGGCAGGATCTGCGATCGCCGAGGGCGATAGTCGCTGTCGTGATTTGGAAACATAAACCCCTTTTATGCAATTCTGCAATCTTGAAGCTCTTGAGTTGAGTCCCCTATTTGTCATAAGGCAAGGATGGATGAATTTCGAGTCTATACTACCTTTCGGCATTCATTCACTTTGTTTTTTGATAACCTTTCAGCATGACGGCAGCCACGTTCAATTACAAATCAAATCGCAAACGCATGCAATTCTGCAGCAAAACTGGGTGCATTCTAGTGTTAAGTACGGTGTGAGATTTGACGGACAACCCCCTCTGCCGGTTGGACGTAATGGAACAATGCACAGTAAAGTGGTATGGAAATGTAACGGTATGATGGTAAAAGGAGACAATCACACAGTGCAGCAGAACCTTGTGTTTGATAAAAGAAACGAAAAAGACGGTGACCACCAAGGTGATAAATGTTCCTTGTGTGTTTTACGTTATGTTCGCGAAAACCCTGTGCCGATCAACAACGGAACTGTAGTCATGTTTAACGCAGCTGATAAGGCAAACGGTGGCAAACACGGAGGAGAGTTGTACCCTTTGGCCGGGAGTGTTGTGAAGTTCAACGTAATTGGAAATGTTAGAGATCAACTGGTCGATCCGGATAACTTCGACTTTCGGCCTTTATCCAATTCCACGTACATAGGGCACAATGTTGGACCGTACAGCTATCACCCCGAGTTGACAAACTACTGGATACCGGGACGGCAGCTATTCAAAGCTAGTACGCCTGTCCCCCCTGACCATAGTGTGAAGATAAGACCAGATCGGAGGGACACTCTTATGTGGCTGAATGGATACGGAACGTCTGTTCATCGTGTTTATTTTGGAACTGATAAGGAGAGGGTTAACAGCGCTTCACTTTACTCGCCCGAGTACCTTGGATCGGTTGTAGATGGTGGGAATGTACTACATCTGAGGACAACTCTGGAGCCTCTGACCAAATACTTCTGGCGCGTAGATTCTGTAGTAAAGTCGACTTTGGTATATCGAGGTGACGTGTGGTTTTTCAAAACAAGCAGAAGTAGCCTTGTGGCCGTGTCAGAAAGTAAAGGAAACAACTGGCGCTCACGATATAGTTTCACTTCAATTGTTACCATTGTAACAGCACTGAAGCTGACTGATTATTAGCAGGTTAGATGTTAGGAGTCTTTTTTGTGAGATTTTTTTTGAAGCGATGGAGCAATCTTTGTATGACCTTTCAGCTCGACTCGTTAGATTTTTTTGTATGTTTTCTCTTTCAATATAGACAAGTAAATAGATGGATGATGAAAATTCGGGAGATTATCAAATGAAGATATTTATAGATCGAAAGAAAATAAGTAAAGAGGTGTACGATTGTATGACTGTATGAATGTCTCTCAGATCTTGATGCGACTGGCAAACCTGGAAATATCACAAATTTTACTATAGCGATGTCATTTCATTATTGATTTCAAAAGAAATTGTAAATAAGGGTATTTCGTATTCCTTTCCCCGCAGTAATAGTTTGTTCTTTGTATGGGGTTTTCTATGTTAGCTGGTCAGCCACATCGTCATAAGTTATCCATAAAACAGACCACAAGGAATTTACGATTGACTGAGGACCTAGGCGTGACCATTTTCGAAACTTGTCACCGCCTCAAGGAAATTTTCTTGCTGCTAAAGATATATACGCCGTTGCATTCTAAATCGTTGATTCCCCCTGAATTGTGAACTACGAGTGTGGAATGTGACAGTTCGATAATTTGAGTTTTTTCGCCTTAAGTAAACAAACAAGACAAAACTATGATTAAAAGAATTATTCTTCAGTTAAAGGAGTTGTGTTTGAGGATTAATTTTTATTCCTGAGGGATAAAAACATCAGAGGCATGTTAATTTTCCACCGTTTTCTCTTATAAGTTAAAACATCTTAATTTAATCTAAACTTTTTTGGATAAGTTCTGTATCACTTCTACGCGACGTGGTGTTAGTTTTCAGATCTGAGAAAATGTATACAAACTTAAAACTTAGCCATCTATCATTGAAAAAGTGGTTTCGTTTCATGCAGATTTGTCTTTTCTTATCATGTCNNNCGTTTAGGTCCCGATATTTTATCAGTGTTGTGAATGAAAGGACACGTTTTGCATCGTGCACGAGCGCATTTAAAAGTGCCTGGTTGGTCATTAGTCTGAAAAGAACTTCTGACCAAAAAATTGCCTATGTTTTTGTCGCGTTTGAATGAAACGAGCGGAGGGCTGCGAAAAGATAGTGCTTGTCTCTGGATCGTTTTGAAGTAATTTAAAGTTTTTAAGAATGATGAATTTAGCTGGCTGAGTGGTTGTGAGGGTGAAACATGAGAGTGAATGGAATGCCGTTGGAATCTTCCTTATGCGATGTTTGTAGTGCTGAATGTCGATCAATAAGTTGGGCGCGGTGGTAACCCGCTTGAACGACAGAAACAGGGTAACCATGTTTATCGAAAAACTGGCACATTGACTCTGATTTGTGGTGGAAATCAGAGTCATCACTACATAAACGACGAAGTCTTAGAAACTGAGAAAAAGGAATGGAAATCTTAAATAGACTCAGATCTACCCTGGTTTTTGTTTGTTTGTTTGTTTCTTCTGTTTTGTTTTGTTTTGTTTTGTTTCGTGTTTCGTTATTGTTTTTTTTTAGGAAGGGGGTGGTTTGAAGCTCCAAGGGTGAAATGTCTGCCAACTAGCTCTTCTCTTATCTCTATTTCCAGTAGATTTCTGTAAAATGTAATTCAACCCAGATGACGAGGATGATGAAATTTCTAGAAAACGGAGAAGGCATCATTTCAGTAGTCTTGCAGGGCTATAGCTTGCTTTTAATGCTCTACTCCTCCTTCGGTTTCTTCAAGCGAGAATTGTACGTTACACACAATTTGGGGCGAGAAGAATTTGGTGCAAGGAACACGATAAAATGATGATACCTGTTAAAGTTACCCGTCTATGGAGGAAAGCTCCCACTGATCGATAAAGTCAAGCTTGATATGTCTGAGAGGGTGCGAGATGTGATGACCTCTTGCGTGACAGCCGTCAACGGATCGCATCACATTTAATGTCACGATAGCCCAAACTCTCTTCAACATTGACGCACTTCTTATGGCGGGCCAAGAAAGAAACTTTGAGGACTTAAACTACTAGGATAAAGCTTTAAGATGACGTCTATCTTGATTTATAAATATATATATATATAACATTAAGTGACTAGAAGGAAACACACATGATTCGCTGCAACTCTGAGTTTCGTGCGTTAAGCACTTGATTTGAATGTATTTCAAAGAGTGCTCAACTCTTGGAGGAGCATTGGTAATTATAACAAACTAGTTCAAGACTTTAGAGGAAGTTCATCGTTTTATTACGACAGCTCTGTTTCGTAGGGACGAAACTATGACCACACCCATCAGGTAATTTCAACGATTGACCGGTAAATTACAATGACTGGCTGTAAAAGCTGGAATACGGTTGCTAGGAGATATGAAAACAACGCTTCTTTTCCATATAAGTCAGGTGACTGGTATGTATAATCGAATATATGAATATGAATATAGTTTATATCTGACCACTTGCAGCCCAGAGGCTGAAATACGAGCGCAGTGTAAGGTTGAGAACAGACGTCAGCATATCAGGCGCCTCTGGCAGCCACCTGAGTCTATCGATCTCACCTTCCCACCCATCCCACCCCAGGAAAGGATATTCCATCAAACAGTAATCTCGTGTGTGGGAAATTAACGTCTCCTACCCCAACCCTGCTGGAGGAGGGACCTCCAGTTATTCGTCCCTATCCGAGAATCGGAGATTGTTACTTTATTATGAAGTTCTTGGGAGGTATCTGTTTCTATGGGGGCATGAACTTGCTAGCCCATTTCGCTTGTTTAGACTGCAAAGTTCCTTTTTGCATATCGTGAATTTTTCAAAAAGACATAAATTACATTTCTTAGTAATGTTTTTGTACGGTTGGCATTGTTTGATGATTTTTCACCCAGACGCCGCGCGTGGGGCAATATAGATAATTGGAGGAAATTAACTAGAAGAATAAAGCTTCAAGATGATGATATATATGGCAGACAGCCTCTCCATAGATATTTATGGTTGGTGGCTCTTAAGATATTGCCATGGTACCGATATCTTTAGGCAACTCATATCTTTCAAAATACAACTGCTGAAGATCGTTTAACGTTGCAGATACACTGCTATACATTAGTTTCAAGTCATTTTTTGATAGAAGAATTCTGAGAAACGGTACCCAGTGAAAATTAACTATTCTTGATGTACTCGTTTGTGTGACTTAAGCCTTGCATGCAGGAAAAAAAAAACCGGTTTGACAGGGATTGTCACAGTTGATGCACAATTGTTGACTTTCAAAGACAGTCTAGCCAGCTATATATAATTTTATTCCCTTGAGCACAGGCTACGTTGTTCAGTTGAATTCAAAGATCGACAAAGATGTGCAATATTTAACTTCCTGAGGTGAATGTGTCTTAGTTGTCTTGTTCATCATGTCAAGCTTGTTACGATCGCGTTCGACTTGGACCCCGATATATCGTGCCGCGTTGAGAGAAAAATTTAGGAAAGCTGACTCAAGAGTTTTGTCGACTGGTCGATTTGGCTTGAACTCTTCTTCTCAAGACTCGAGGTAAAACAGTCTAATGCCGTAGGAGATTAGAAAATGAAGTTCGGTTGAATTTCCATAAGCGGTCACGTAACAGCCACGTTTAAGGGCCAGCAAAGCATTAGAAGAGGTTGATTACAAGTCCATCTGGCCTTAGTAACCCTTAGTAAACTAACGGCAATATTTAATTTTTCGATAGGATGCAGCACAAACCGTATACAATATTGGCTACGTTATTAAACAATATGTCATATAATTTCGATTAGCGTCGAGCTGTTTCGATGCTTAGGCAAACGTTGGGTATACCGCGAGCTCACACACTGGGTGGAGGACACTCAACTGCTTTACAATCAACTGAATCTACTTTATTGCTTGATTCAAGGTTCTTTTATACATAATGGTAGCTAAATCATACGTGATACAAGATATAGAAGATAATACGAGTTTCCCTTGGCATAAACAACTTTGGGAGAACACTTACGTAAATCCTGCAGAACTACTGTTCCTACGTGTTTTTAGACGGAAAGCACGAACAAGTTTCCATATTCCATGCGACACGTAGTAGGAACTTATTTTCGCGGATACCCAAAGTAATCAAAGCTTATTCTAGAATTGTTTGTCACGCTTTGTCACGCTATGCTTTTTATTTGTCATTGAATTACATAGCTTTAATTATAAGCCTGCTAAAATAAGCTATAATATTATGGCTGGAGATCTTAGCAAGTTCTACTGAGCTTTTATAAGAAGATCCCTATCTAATAAAAACTGTAACTTATAGCAGATGGTTTAATTATGAACGTAAGCTTAACTTTACATAAACAAATATTTTAAAGGGCATGTAAACCCAAAAATACATGTTTTTCTTACACTATGTAAAAAGTGGTTTAGAATACGAATTTGCAATTCGTTTTTCCCAATTCGACTTCTTTTAAGGAGAAATCGGCATTTTTAACTGAAATTCCACTTCTGGTGAAAACAATACCGAGGAGTCGTGACGTAAGCGGTGGAACTAAAATATTGCGCAACACAGTTTCCTCCATAGAATCGATAAGGCAGCTCGGACGATGTTTTTTCAGAAGAGAGTGACTCGAATGCCTTAAACTTATATGACAGCGATGGGGATACTTCAGAACCTTTAGAAGAGTCGAACGATCCGCACGAAGGCTGCACAAAACCGGTTGACAGCGATACCGCGTGTCTCGGAAAAACAGACTGGTATTTAATCCATTGCGTGATTTATTTTCATTTGGCATGGAAACCTAATAAAGTAAGTTGAAAATCTAAACGAATGCAAGATAATTTTTTAACATGAGCTTCTGTGGTATATAAAGTGATCAATGGTGCGAGTAAAATGGTTGCAAATGTATGAATATTGTTGGAGTTCGCAAAGTGAATGCATTTCGTTCACGGTTGAGCAAGCTAATCGACCCATCCAGCTGAATAGCTCGCATGAGAATCACTCGAATGATTAATGATCATGATAAGAGAACAAAAAGATAACGGGCAGACAAATCTAAAGCTTCAAAACCGCTTGACCTCAGCTCACTTTTGTAACGATGCACGTGATTGCTATCGTAGAATATGTCAGTGGTACTTGGGT